TTGGCATGATGAGAGAGAAAATTCCCTACAAATAACAGATGTTGGTCACATCACTACTGGACGATGCAATGGTGATAAGGGTGGTATAAGAATCTAGATAGGATAGGTATTCTCCATTGGCTTTGGCATTCACTTTTCTCTGATCTGAACAAGTCCTAACTCATCAGACTTCAAGGCACATTGCTAAACCCATTTGTTTTCCCTCGCTGTGAAAGATTGGGTCATTGGGAAGCCTCTAATGGGAGATCATAAAGATTTGAAACAAGCTTTAGGCGGCTGAATTATCATATATGTTAATTGAAGTGGGATTTCTGAAGTAGCCTGTGCTTTTTAAAAATGTGTCAAGGGGCACCTGCAGCAAAGAAATAAGTATACAAATATATATAAACAATATGAAAAATAAACGAAGTTGGTTCCGTTGTTTTCTGTGACTGGATATTAACAACTCCATTCTGGACAACCACTAGCCTACAGGGCTCAGAGCACAGCTGCCAGGGTTTGTACAGCAGCATATAAGATATTTTTTACAAATTATTTAATGAGCTAATTTGCATAAGCAAATAAATTGGAAATAACTATAGACTTCAAATTATTAAAAAAAAGTGTGGATTTAGTGTTGGTGAAAGGTATTGACTTAACAACTCTTGTGATTAAAATCTACTGGGGAAGTAACAGGGCTAATCAAGTTTCCATGGAGCATAAAGTACTTGGCCTACCACGTAAGTCTTCTAATTAGTGCAAAGTAACGTGCAGAGAGTACAGGTGGGCAAAAAATGTTGCACTCTTCTTTTTGGGTGAAAAATGCAGATTTGGCAGCAATGAAGTTTTATGTGAATTCTTGTCAATTTTGCTGAATTGTTTCAGTTGGGGAAAAAGACAAACAGAATCAAACCATATTGTTCTGACAGTTCAAGAAAGATTTTGATTTTTGAGTTTGAAATTACTTTTCATTTAAAAGTGTCCTTTAATTTTATTTCTAAACATTAAAAAAAATAATCAGTCCAAAATGGAAATGAAATATTTAGTTTCAAATTAAACATTTTCAATTGATCCAAAAACAAGAACATTTTCAACTTTCTGATTCACTGAAAATTTGGAAAAAATGCATTTTCAGTTCAATTCAAAAATGTTTTTCCTGATTTCTCCCTCCTCCCCTGAATTCCTAGGGAACTTAAAAAATATATTTGGTGAGTTATAACAGTGTTTGTGCTAGAAATTATATCTGCACAATTTATCCCATATGAGGGCTACCAAACATCCGTTAGATGGGAACAACTTTTTTATCCCCGCTGAACTGAGTTTGAATCATACTGATTATCCAAAGGTAAATTCAAATGGCTCTATGGATCATTAGCAATGCATAAGGCACCCAGTTCCCTAATAAACACTAATGTTACTCTTTCAAGAATAAGGACTGCTTTCGTTGGGGGGGGGGGGGGGGAAGTCTATTAAATCAAGTTCTGACCTTGTTAGAGTTTACACTGGTGGGATCTTCCACTCTGTGAACACACAGGAGTTATCTACTATGCACTGCATCCGGAAAATACAATCAAATGTCCACTCTGCTCTTAAAGGGACCATTCCTGTTAACTAAACACAATAAGATAAATATTAAACAAATTAAAAATACACTTCTAAATATGACCATTGACTTCAATGGAGTCAGAATTTACTCAGTGTTTTCAGATATAAGAGCATTAAATCTATTATTAATATTCCTGGATTCTCACAATAACTTAAGATGGGTGATATTCTATATATATATATATATATATCTATATCAAGCTTAGTGCCTTGTTGTAGAAAAATCACAGAACACCAGCGATGTATCTGAATAATGGCAAAAAGACTATATAATACAATTCACAAAAATGTACTGTAATGATCATCACCAGTGGTCAGTCTGATTTATAAAATGGTAGGGCTGTCAAGCAATTTAATCGTACTGTTAATAATACAATAGTATTTATTTAAATATTTAAAGATTTATTTAAAGATTGTGCTACAGTACTTTTACGAGGTGAATTGAAAAATACTATTTTTTATCATTTTTACAGTGCAAATATTTATAATAAAAATAATATAAAATGAGCAGTGTACACTTCGTATTCTATGTTGTAATTGAAATCAATATATTTGAAAATATAGAAAAATATCAAAAATATTTAATAAATTTCAATTGGTATGCTATTAATAGTGCAATTAAAAGAGCAATTAATTTATTTAATTGCAATAAATTGTTTTGAGTTAATCATGTTAGTAAACTGCAATTAATTGACAGCCCTATTATATATCAAACATAAAAACAAATAACAAAACCCTATGTTAAAAAAAAGTCAAGATTACAAATTTAAGTGCTAAAAATAGGAAATAGCAAAATTAAGGTTACTGCTAACCTTAAATTGTCTTTGTATATGCATTATAATAATATTTAACTACATTATCACACTCAAATTATTTTCTGTGTGAGTGGTGATCAATGATTGAACCAAGAGTTTTTAGATCCATAGCATGGATCAATTCCACTTGCTAGACATAATTTTTAGCAGAAGTAAGTTGTTATCCTGTCTGAGGGCTGTAACAGGGCACAGGTAGGCCCCTCTATCTTCCTGCCACTTCTGTGCCCACAAACCAGCCAGAGACCTCTGCTTTGGTGCAATCACATGTGCTCTTCATTTACAGTACAAGTTCCCACCACCTTGTAGCTACAGATAGCATCAGGCTTGCAGCCAGCAGGGGAAACCAGCCTCTAACTCCCTGGCTCCTCCCTTTCCTCTCCTAGCTTCCTTCCTGCCAGCCTTTATGTAGCCCCTGGCTAACGAGGCCAGCAGCTGTTGCCTGTTTGCCACTTAGGCCTGGGCTTACTCAGCCAACTCCAATTCCCCTTTCCTGATTGGAGCTTACATGACAGAGGTCTGGCTCAGGGTTTTGTAGCCAGCAACTTGTCACAAGGACCAAAATCTAGCATGATACAGACACACACACACACACACACACACACTTATGTAACTATTTGTGATGTGCCAAACACACAGGCTTATATAACTATGTGTGATGTAGCACTGGAATGTTGAGCATCAGGATCCATGGGTTCTATTCTTGGCTCGGGGAGCAGAGTATTTTCTAATGAACAGCACAGTGGTTAAAGCTAAGCATGTACATTCTCATTTGGAAAGGTAATGGGTTCTAGTTTCTTGCTCTGCCTTAGTGACAACTTGTATAAGTTCTCTGTTACCTTATTGATAAAGGGAAAGGAAAAATATAGTTGCCTGCCTGCTGGGAAAGGGATAAGAGGCCTTAGTTAGTAATAAATTATGAGAACTGTACAGAAATATTAATAGCACACAGTAGAAAAGGGAAGACTAGAATTTATGGGCATGTGGCTCCCCAGTTCAGTGCTCCTTCTGGTAGGCCAAAGGGTATATTTCCTAAAAAGAGAGTCTCTCTCTCTCTCATATACATATGTCTGAGATTTTAATTGAACTGCATGGCACTTGATAGGTCTATGGATACATTAAGGTAGGAACTCAAGGCTTGTGAGGTTCCCACTAAAGTGCCTTTTAAAAACCAATTTATCTCGTGCTAACTGCTAAGCTCAAGGAACCTTCAGTGCTTTAGTGATGAAGGCTCATGAAGATTTGTTTTCTGAGGGAAAAGCAGTTTTTATTTAATATGTGTTTCCAAATTTTGAATGACACATGAGAAGGTAAATGAGAATATTAGCCTCTGGTGGTACAGCCCTAAATTATTCGTTATGGTTCCCACTGAACTTGAGTAGATTTTGTAAAAGCTGAACTGATGAATATTAATGAATCTGGCCTATGAGGCTCTAGAATACTGGGAGATAGAACAGTTGGGGGTAGAAAAAAAGAGGCATCTGACGTGAGCCAAAAAGTCAAGAAAATGAAAGGGGAAAGGACTGGATTCTGCCATGTTTAGATTTAGGGTTGGGACTCAGGGATGGCCCAGCAAGCACTACTCCCAGCTTCAGCTGTTAAATTAATGTAAATTTAAATCAAGCTTTTAAAAATTTCACCCAAAGCCTTTCTGAACTTTTTATGTACGGAGACATCCTTGCACAACATTGCACTATTGGCTGTATATGTCCTATCACTTATGAACACTGGGGAGAATAATGATTGAACAATGTTAATTTAATTTATTAAGGGTGGAAGACTTAAATCCCTGGAACATTATATCATACTACTTACCATGCAGCTGTACAGGGCTGTATATTTAAAACTCTTCTGGGTCAGAATTTCGACAATAAAGTGCAGAGCTTGCAAAAAAGGTGGTTTTTAAAATTTATTTAAATATTCAAGGTCAGAACCATTCTTGTTCAAAGAAGAGCAGATTCTGAAAACACAAAAGTTTTGTGGGGGGAAAAGAACACTCATATTCAAATGTTTGAAATAGATTTTTTTTTCAACTTGCAAGTCTCTTGCTACCAATACTGTAACTGTTGTAGAGAAGAGTAAATGGACACATTTTGAAGGGTTATTGATTTTATTTCTCAAACTCATCAACACTGTTAAAAAATGACACACAGTTGTTGAAATGAAAAGAGGTTATCTATTTTCCCTGAAAATCTGAAATGCTATAGTGATTTCAAATGATGGAACCAGATGACTGTACTTTTTGACATCTCTCGTCTTTGCAAAAAATAAATAAATCTACTGCTTTTCTATTTAAAATGTGTGCACATAGGAAGGAAAGAGTGTAATTGGCAAAGAGTTTTGGAAACAGTATGATAACAGTAGGGTATTAAACAGCTGGAATCTAATAAATGTTTAGTTGGAAAAACAGCCCAAAAGCTTTATCTACCCTAAAATTATTATTGTATTATTTCCCTGTGGCTTACTGACACTTCTTGTTCAACTTATCGTGTACTACCTTCATAACTATTCTCTCCCTTGTTTTATATATATCTGATTTAAAATTTTGGTTCATGAATTTGTGAGCAGTTGATTGCTTCTAATTTTGGTTCTATGTCTGGGCAGATTCTCAAGTGAACCAGTGGAGGCGTAACTCACAAACATTATGCAGTCATGGAATAAGAAGCATGGAAGTCTTTTAGGAAGGTACTTTCCCCCCTTACTTTTCCTCTTTCTTGTGTCCCCAGCTCCCACTCCTCCAGGCTAGCAAACTGTCTGGTACCTGGAAAAATGTAAGGAAAGTGTTGCTAATACAGTTTACAACCATAGAAGCTAGATGTGTAATCACATAGAAAACATTATGAGAAAAGTTTGAAGTAAAAATACTTTGCACTTATAGAAAGGGTTCCATTTCTTCTTCCACTATTTTGCAGCTGCAGAATCTACTCCTCACAGCAGAATTGTGCTCCAGAATCTACACTTTCATTTAAAAGAATGTTAGTCCCCAGGAGTGTGAATAAAACCAGGAAAACAGGAGCAAAGAGTAAACTGATGCAGATTACAAGGTGCAAAACAGTGGAGGATCAACTCCTGGTTATTTTCTGGGCTGCATGATGGAATCATCAAAATAGTGGGCAAGGGTTAGGGGAGGAGGAAACTGATTCCGTCAAAGGGAGAACAGGAAAGAGGGAGGTAAACTATCCAAATGAGTGTAAACCTAAATTAAGAGTCCTGTTAAATTCAGGATGAGGGGATAATTTCTTGGCCTGATTATTCTCTTAAATATATATATTATATATATAAAAAAGAGGTGAACTAAAATCTGGGAAAAGGATATTCCTACTAATGAATGATAAAACTGAGTTGGCAGAGGGGAAAAAAAGACACACAGTTTGGGTGAAAGGAAAAAGGTTTGATAGAAGTTAATGAAATAAAGGTATGTGACATTGCACCCCATAATGCTTAATAGAAATATGCTTATAAATGTAAATATGACATACCTGGAATATGTTTTATGCTAGATATATCATGTAACATATCGTTGCAAAGGTTATGTTCTTCTGAATGTATTAATCCTATTTGTATGCATATATCATTTTTATATCTGAAGTTATGAGCATTGCCTCTATGCTTGTATTTAATGTGTTTGCTGTAGGAAGCACATAAGGCAGATTTGGTCAACATAGTGTGAAGGGGTTATTCAGGTAATTGGGAGTACTTGGCTGACAATGGACCTTGATAGACACTAATCCACATCTGAGCTTTCTTGGGAACAGTCAGACTAACATGTAGACAATGGTGTCGGCCTGTAAAGAACTGAGTCATGCATGGACATGTGACTTGCCCATGTGACTTCAAAACTCCATCTTGTAGCTGTGATTCTGCACAGGAGAACACAAGGGGTTTCCACCCACAAGAGAGACTATATAAGCCCCTGGAAACCCCTCCATTTTGTCTTCAACTGGCTCAAAATATAACCTCTCCACCCCAAAGAAAGGCCTGAAAGAAACTGGAACAAAGGACAGTAACTATGGGGGTGTGAGTGATTGCTGGACCCAGACTAGGAGGAAGTCTACTCTGTAAAAGAAGCTTATTGGAATTCTCGGCTGCAGATTTTTAAGGGGCAAGCTGCACTTGCTTATAGCTTGGAACCCCCACATTAATTCACAGGCTAAAAATCCCTTTAGCCTGGGTCCAGCATTTTCACAGTTCAGTCTGTTGTTCCTTAGGTGTTTCCACAAGTCTACTTGGGTGGGGAGTCAGTGAAGAACCACGATGATATCACTCACCTGCCTTATATAGCTTTTGCATAGAGCAGAAAGCCTTTGTTTCAAAGCTTAGTTCCCCCTGCCAGTCAGTGAAAAATACTGACATCCCAAGATGGAGTCCATCACCAAGTGACCAGGCCACAGTAGAGTCACAGTAGAGGACTGGACTAGATGACCTCTCGAGGTCCCTTCCAGTCCTATGATTCTATGATTACTCGGAGGCTGTCTGTAGCATCCTCAGGAAGGCTCCCCGGGTGGGAGATAAGCTTCTCCTAAGGCCTACTCTCGTAATGGGCCATTGCACTGAATAAGCCCTTCCCCACCCACTGTCTAGAATGAAAACATCTTGTCTAGTGGGCGTTACCCAGGTGTAAACACATTTGAAATACAGATACATAGTCAATATTCATAACTTCAGATACAAAAATGCATGCATATAAATAAGATAATTATATTCAGCAAATCATAACCTTTCCAATGACACCTCCTGACTTATCTTGCATAAAATATATGACGATTATGTCATAATCATATCATTTCATATCACTGTGAAGAATATGGGGTGCAGTGTCACACTATTCTTGGCTACAGTTATTTCACTCTCACAAGCTTGACCATTAACTCGGAATTCTGATTGATAAGTCTGACCTTTAAAACAAGTTGTGACTAGTATGAATGGGTTCTGACCAGATAGAGGCTTAACTGGCTGACCCCTCTCTCATCCCCTCCCTTTCTTCCACATGTTCACTCTTGTTGTTTACTTTAAGTTAGGACTCTGCTGACCCCTACACAAACTTGGCTTTTTGCCAACTCCCCATCTTGGAAATTCTGGGCTTTCTGCCAGGGCAGCCTTTAAATTTTTTTTTTTTTTAGAAATCTTAAGTTCTTACTGAGCATGCTCAAGGTTTGCAGCTTCTGTCTCAGAGTGGAGTGATTTTTGCTTAATCAGGATGGAGATCAGAAATGCAAAGTAGAGACTGGAGAGTTTTCTCTGATAATACCCTGAGGTCCCCCCGCCTCCTCCTCCCCTGACGCTTTCCCGTCCACTCCTCTCTGCATCCTCCCCCGAGGTGAAGAGGAGTGAATGGTGGGCTGGAGGGGCCTCCAGGAAAGAGGTGGAGTGAGGGCAGGGCCTCAGCGGAAGAGGATGAGGAAGGGGCGTCAGTGCGGAGCACAGGCAAAGCCACAGTCTGTGGCTCCCCAGTGGCTCCCCACACTTCTAGGGAGCTTCGCTTCTGGCACTCCAAAAGTGGCTGGCCGCTGTGCCTCCAAAGGGAGGTGATCCATGCCGCATCCATGGCATTTGATCGCCTGCCTGGCCTGCCTTTTGGGGGGAGGCTTAGCCTTCGTCGTGTATGTGCTGCCCATGGGGACAGTGGCATCATGAGTCCACCTCTCTCTCCTCCCCCATCTACCCTGAAGGCAACAAGAATGTTTGGAAGAAAAAGACTTTGAACTGGGGAGATTGGTCCCAGGCTAAGCAGAGAATTCAGCTTGTATATTAAGAACTGTGAATTGCGTACATTATCTACTGGGGTGAAAGAAACTGCTTCATTCACCTCTTTCTTAGTCTGATAAAGTTTAGGATTTAGAATTCATGTATACTTTTTATTTCTTATGTAACTGTCTCTGACCTTTATGACTACCACTTATAATCACTTAAAATCTATATTTCTGTAGTTAATAAATTACTTTTAATGTTTTATCTTTGCCAGTGAATTTGGGGAATCCGTTGACATTACAAAGGCTGGTGCATGTACATTATCCTTTGATGAAGTGGCAAACTGATTAATGAGCTTGCACTGATCAACAAGGTCTTGGGGTGCAAGGCTGGGGGGGATTTGCTGGTGTCTTCCTGTGTATAGTTCATAAGAGGCTGTGGGAGTCTGCATGTAACTTTGAGTGTCCCTTCACATGCTAATGGCTGTGTGAGAATGCAGTGTGAGAGGTACCCTGATTCAGAACGTAAAAGGGAACACAGCGGTCCCACAGTCCAGTTTGTACCCCAGCGGGTGTCATACACCCTCAGTACGAACATCAGTGCCTCTCACAGTGTCTGCAACATCATTGGAACTGGTGCTCCTACACCAGTGTTGTTATTTCACATACTGCAAGAATTCAAGTACCTGAGAGACCCTGTGGTACCAAATGAGTTTGAAGTTTCCACTCCTTGAAACCTCTGGGTGCCTCTCAATACCGAGGTCTGATGGGTCACCAACAGCTCATGTTTATGGGAGACCTATCTCATCTTCAGCTATCCAGGAGGAGGGGTTGTCACCTCCTATACTGTATGTGGAGGAGCATTCTGATTCAGATTCTGAACTTTCTGTTCAAGGATCTCCAGTTTATTCTAGGAGCTGTTATTCTCTGTACAAATTTTAAGGGATCTTAACTCAGTTCCATAGGGAGCAAGACGACCTTTGGTATCTTACTCTGGTATTGTCCAAGAGGCAAGAGTGAACAAGGAGGTTATGCCTCCCTCTTTATACACATCTCGTCGTTATCACCCTAATGAGGCAGTAATGCCACCACTGCCATCATTAGTTGATGAATTTAGACAATGCCAGGACTTAAGTGTGTCACAGACACCCTGCAAATTCCCCTGGAGGAAGTCCAGGATTCCCATCACAAGCTCCTGGACATATTGCACATCTCTACCTCAGCACAGGTGGCACCACCAATTAATGAAGCCCTTCTTGAGCCAGTCAAGTCCATCCGGCAAATTCCAGTAACAGGACCCCCCCCCCCTACATGCAAAAGGACTGATTAAAAAATACTACCTCCTGGTGATTCTGAGGTTTTTATTCTCACCTGGCACCAAAGTCTCTGGTTGTGGATGCAGTCAATGAAAGGGGCAGAGAGCATATCCAGAAGATCACTCCTTATAATACAAACCAGAAAAGTCTAGACCTGTTTAGTTATAAGAGCTATTCATTAGCAACTCTTCAGTTCAGGATAGCTAATCACCAGACACTGATGTCAAAATAAGACTACCTGAACTATGAGACATTTAAGGTTTTTATTGACCATTTACTTCAGGATCATTGAGAACAGTTCAGTGCCATAATAAAGGAGGGTCTGCTTTTTTGACAAAGACTTCACTGCAGGCATCACTAGCTGCTGCATACATTACCGCCAGGTTTATTTCCACCATAGTAGTGATGAGGTGAAATTCATGGCTTCAGTTGTTGGGGTTTCCATGGGAGGATTCAATCAACCGTGGAGGATTTACTACTCCTGGGGGTATTCTATGCCAAAAAATTAAAAATTCTGTGCACAGTATTTTAAAATTTTGCAAAATTCTACATATTTTTTGTCAAAATAACACAATATCACACCAATTTCAATTATTTTGGTAATTTTTTTCAGAATACCTGTCAGCAAGTATGTCTGTAATAATACAGACAACAAAAAAGATTCAGGAAATGTTTTTTGAGA